TAACTTGTTCTATCAACTTAACAGAAAAGTTGTTAATTCATACTTTCAGTGTACTCACACTAGTTTACTGATGCTGTGATCTTTATGTGCACAAGGAGGCTTTCCCAGCACAGTTCAATTATTGTTATTTTTAAACTTGATTTTAATATCTACATATGTAGAAATTTCAGAGACGATGTTAAAAGGAAATATGATTTGCTTATGATTAATGCTTAGTTTTTTACCAAGTCCAATTATATAAAAATCTTATAGTTCAAAGTTTAAATTATTCAGTTATATATAGAGTAAGTTAATTTATCAAGATATATAAATAAGTAGAATTTAAGAGCTAGTCTAGAAGTTTATAAAAGCTGTACTAAATTTGTCTTATATGAATTTATAAATTGGACCAATGGATGTTAAAAATGTTTATTGGTATACTTTTATTAAGTGATTATTTTGTTTCTAGAATAATCTTTTGGTTGTTTCTAAATTATGCCAAAATTTTTATGAAAGACCTACCTCTAAGGAAAGGCAAATGGGATAGATATCATTTTTCCCTCCCTATCTGGGTTTCATAGCATTTGAATATGTCAGTGCCAATTAGGCTTATATCCTCTTCTTAGTGGTGAGAAAAAATAGCAGGATAGCAACAGTATGGAAGCAGAAAAAGCTTGGGAACTATGATTTTAGATTATTACCATATGGGGAAAAATAGATATGAAGTGAATTAAAATATTCTTTTTGCCATCATTAGAAAATGTCATGGTTTTAGTTTGTGCAAATTTAAAAATACCTTTTAAATGTTATTGTTTGAAATTCTGTAAGTATCTGATAAGTTTATTAGGTATCTGAGTGTATATCTTTTATGGGAACGATTTAGAGGAGAGCACCGTTAAACACAAATGACAGAATAAACAGTACAGTTAAAGTCATTTGTCATGTCCTAGTTTTAGTTTATATTTAGGCAAAATGTAAGTAATTGTTTCTTTTTCTATAGTGTTTTATCAACTTCAAAGCCAAACAAGCTGTCTCATATTTATGTAGAAGTTTTACTGGATATTTGGTCACTAGTTTCCTTTTTAAGACAATAGCAACAATGCAGCTTTGTATATTATAGCTCAGTTTTAAAAGGTGCAATTATGGGAAATCAGGTGAACATTTAGATCAACGTTTCTCATCAGTCTGCTTCTGTTTAAAATGAATTCTGTAAGTGCTATCCAAAGTTCTTAGCCCTGAAAGTGTAAAGGACACTTGGATTAGACCCAGTTGTGTTAAAAATAGAGCTCAGCTATTATCAGATACACATACTCTGGTCAAAGCTGAGAGAATAATAAAAAGAGCACCAGTTTTCATATCCTCTAGATAAATTTTTGTATTCCAAGAACAGAATTTTCCTACAGCAGATAAGGAATACTCGAATATAAGTTTGCCTTTGGATTTAGTATTTGTATATTTTTCAAACTATTCTTTGTACAGAGTTTTTAGAATTTTGACATTTTCCCTTTCTCTCTTAAAGGTGCCCTTTAAGGAGACAGAATTATGATTATGCAATGTATTTATTGACAGTTTTATACCATGAGTCTTGGGTAAGTTATTGTGTATGAATGTTTAATGATTTTGCTTGAAATTTGAATGATTTTAACTTTTCCAGTCTGTGTGACATGTGCTTACCTGAGAGTTTCAGGAACTCAAGATGAGCAAGAGAGTAAATGACTGCCGCAGCTGTGAGACTGGCCTGCACACTGACGTATGCCAGGCTGTTTCGGGATGCATATCAGTCAGACAGCTTAGTTGCCTTTAGAATCCTTAGCTTCTGATCTTGACTGGGACATTCACAATTTTCACTTTGAATTTTTCATCTGAATTTGACTGAAATTTGTGATGGTTATGGCAGTGTAATCATCACCCGTATCATGTGAGATTTTGTAACTCATCTTATTCAAGTAGCCTACAAAATAGAGCTCTAAAGCATTGGTTTCTATATTTCAAGTGTTCGTTGAAACTTTTACTTTACATGTAGCTTTCATTTGAACACTTCCTTGGTACACATTAGGGACTGGTAAGGGCTTTTCATTATTTAAATAACACAAAACATAGTCTTATTTTAGTAGAAGTAAACATAGTCACAGTTTTAGTAGAAGTATACACATCTACGAGGAAAACTTTGAGTACCTACTCAAAGTTGTAACTAACATGTTGAGGGAACTCTTAAGTTCTGAATATTTCTAATAATTTAAAATTTGCACACAAGTTACATGCTTTGTAGATGCGTAGCAAAGGCCTTGAAATCAATGACATTTCCAGTCAGGAGTGTTTCTAGATTATAGACAGCTGGAGCTTCATAGAAAAGTGTTTCTAGGTTAGCGACAGTGTAGGGTTTATAGAAAAGAGGACTGGAGGAATTAGTTATGATTCTAGGGTCTCGGCAGGGTGGGAAGCAGTAGGAACCAGATTTTAGCTTCCAGAGTGAGAACATTCTGGGAGAGCCATCCAAGTGATATGGGCTGCTGACTAGGTTGTGTGCCCTTCCCCTGGCTGCTGTGGGAAAGGGGCGTGCTCCGTGAGTAGGTGTCTGCAGTGGAAGGTGGAACCACCTTCCATCCCCAGCTGTTGTTACTCTGTGCACACAGGCAACCATTTTAAAAGCTATCTATGGTCTTCCTTGATATTAATAATAAAACAGTTGTGGTATGATAAGAATGAGTGGAAAATAAAACTGCAAGGTTAGTAAAAAAACAAAAGTACCTGGTAGCTTTTCTGTTCTTTTGAGGTATTCTAATGATCACAGTTCTCGACTTGGTAGCTTTTGGCTACCAAGCAGTATCATAATAGCAGGTAATCTCTCTTTCCTGTCAATTGATTTTGTGAATGCCTTTGGCTTAACATAATTAAGTTCATGTTTGAACCAGACACATGGCTGAACTAGTTGCAATTCCATGACTGCTGCTTAAGGAGTTAATACCAAACAATAAAAACCAGCCAGTTTTGAGTCTTATTTTGCCAGCAGCCTGTAAAATGAATATGCCCCAAAGGAAATGACAGGCATAAATAAATTCAGGGTAAGTTGACTTACTGGATTCTTTCTGTGGTTCCATAACATAGAATCCAAACAAACTTGGATTCTGAATTCACACAAGGGGCCTTTGATCTTTAATGCTGATGACTTAGATGCCAGAATGAGTAGCCACATACAACTGTCCTAAACAGATATAATTAAAGAATTCCTATATTAAGTTTGGCTCTTGATCCTTTGTAAACAAGTACCATCAGTGGCGAAACTTTAAGAGAATGCAGATGAGCTGTGAAGTTTTGCAGAGCTGGTGGAACAGAATTTTTATTGAATTGAAATTCTTTTTTCCTTCACCAAAATGGAACTCATACATGTTACCACCTGGTATTTAATCAAATATTTAGAGAGTTCCTTTTTAATCCATTCCTTTATTTTTTATAGGCAGTATACCCCAAAGCTAAGTTTCCCTTCTTAGCTTTTTAACCTTTCCATGGAAGTTGCCTCTGAGTGGTATTGAGAGGTAAGCACTCAGTAGTTTTATGTGGCTTGAAGCATTGAAATTTCTCTGGAAAGATTCATTTAGACTCAGTGTAAGGAAATTACTGTTGTGTGATGGTCATAGCTCTTGAACTGAGAGGCACTGAAGTAACCTTCTCAAAGCAGACTGCAGTATAGGGGTTTGGTGATCAGTGTGTCTGACTGTGAAGGGTGTCTGTAAATATTGTTGTTAATCCTACAGTAAAGAAAGCTATATCTTACAATTTCAAATTCATTGAATCTATATCAGCTTCCAGTTAGCTTCACAGACACTATAGTTAGTCCACCAGAATCTTGTCATATTTGGATCTTTAAAACACTGTCCTACTCACATTCTAACATGACTGCTAGTAACAGAACTCCCTAAATTTTGACTTTATATGCTATTTTTTAAGCTTTCCACAAGTGACTTGGTTGAGAAATGATTGAAACATTTTGCAAAGTGGCTTCACAAAAGATAGACTTACACATGCTTAATAATGAGGGAAAGAATAAAAGCACTTGTTTTAGAAAGTATAGCTTATCTAAAATCAATTTCTAAGTGTTTTTGGATGATTCGGGTATTGAATTAATAATGGTGAATTATTAAAATTTGAATCTTGGATTGTCTTTTTGGATTTCATAATAGTCTTAAAACCATGAAAAATTATCTAGATTTGTAAGAAAGGGATTATGAGAACTCATATACTGAAAGCTTCTAAGTCAGATTACTTTTCTCTCTGAAAGAATTCCTTTTTAACGGGAGCCACATTGCAGACGTTTCTGATAAAAAAGAGATGAAGGAAGTCTTCTGTAGAAGATTGGTGTCAGTTTCATGTTTGGGATCATTGGTTGTGTGTGCTTGCTGGCGCAGACATTCCAGAGTGGATTAGAGGACACCTGAGCAGCATTTCTGTTGTTTTCATCATTGTCATCTTGTGGACCAGGTCTGGTGATCCTGTGTTGAGACTGCTGGATGAGGGTGCTGTTGCCTGGAGCACCTTTCACCCTAGGAGTTGAAGTTACAGTACAGTCTGTTGTGCTGGCTAGTTGGGGCTGCAGGAGGCAGGGACTCTGGTTCCTTCTCCTTGAAGTGTCACAGGAATGAATGGTGAATGGTTTTTCCAGAAGAGTGTGCAGTAGAGAAGTGGGTGAAGGACTTTCTAGCCTTGTAGGTGTTGACAGCCTGCAGGGTTTGGTGTGGCCAGGATCTCAGATCTACAAGGCAGAGGTAATGGAAGCAGCTGAAAAAAATTTGTCCTTGCCAGATAAGGAACAGGTTTAGTTTACTCTAGCGCAGATCCATAGTCGGAAGGGGCAGCACTGTGCAGGAGGAGTCTTTCTTGAGCTGCCTCCTCTCCTGTCTGGGTGTTCAAGAGGAGGAAGCAGTACTTAAGTCAAAGTACTTAAGTCAAAGGTCCCTGTGCTTTCATAACAACGAGCTGTTTATTGATTGATGGGTGATACTATTTGGTTGCCTGTCCTTTCCTTGGTGTTGACTATGGAGGTTAATTTGTGCAGGAAAACACTAGTGAAAGCAGGTAGGTTTCCTCATAAATATCGACATGATACAGGGCTATGTCTGAACTGGGTACAGGCCAGAGGTTCAGGGTGGTGAGAGGATTCACCAGAGTCAGAATGGGGAGCAGAACAGGCAGATCGAGAAAGTACAATGCTAAAGGGAGCAGTGGGCGAGACAGGAGAGATCTGCTGCCATGTGGGTCACCTCCAGGGCTGAGGATAGAAGTCACACAGAAGTGGCTGTGGCTAGCTTGCAGTGCTGTACCCTAACCCATTGTGCCACTGCCCAATTTTTAAGAACCATCTGAGCCAGTTCAGTGCTAGCTAACCCTCTCAGTGCACTTGACTGCCATGTGGGCCCCCCCTTGCCTCAGGAAGAGCTGGCTGGTACCCACAGACTGCCGTCTAAGCACAACTGCAATGAGTGTCAGACTGATGAGTAAGTTCAAATGAATGTTCTAATCCACCCCATGTTCAGCTCCCCCTCCCTCTGTTTCGTCCCACTCCCACCTCTAGTGCATGTGCCTTCTGGGACTGTTGTGGGTTCCTTTGGACATGTTTGCCTCACTCAGTCCTACTGCAGTGAGGACTCTGTTTCTTTGCTGTTCCCGGCACCTAAATAGCATCAGTTTATCAGCAGTCAGTAAAGTTCTTTTTGACAGACTAGAATTGAATCTAGTTACCAGTTGTCTTTGTTTAAGCATTTAGCTTTGGTAACTGAAAAATTGGAAGTCTTTTTTATCCATTATGGTTATTTACCTCATTTATGACTTTCAAATAACTTGGATTTTCTTGGTGCTTAAGTTGTCTTCCCTTATACACAGAGTGCCTTTCTTTAACGTTACTGGACTGTCCCTATGCTTCATGCCCTGGGCAAAGGCCCTTGTAAATTAGATGGTAGATGGTGACAGATGTGTGTTTGGTGGCACAGGCATCTCTTTGCCCTGTTATATCAGAACACACTGACTATTCCATGAATTGGTTATTATGTTTTTCCTTTGTGTTAAATTTATGCTTATAAGAGAAGAAAAGCTGATAGGTTTAAATTTAGATACTATTTTGTTCTTTGACATTCTTTTTACCACGTCTCCGTGTTCCTCAGACTGTGTCTGCCACTAGTGTGCACTATGATGTGGGCTGCTGTTTGGTTGCCCTGGGCTTCAATTTCCTGGTGTGTCAGATGTCTCACTGCCTCACTGGTGTTGTGTCATGAACTTCAAGGAGCCGATGCATGTCAGGAGCTAAGGCAGCAAGTGTTCTGGACCGTGCTGGTCAGCCTCACCTCCTGACACTTTCCTCCTGTTGGCCACATAAGGGTCCTAGTGCGCCCATCTTATCACTTAATTTGAATATATTCTTATTTATACCTTAATGTTAATACATTACAGCTACACTTCAAAAAAGGAAACAGTTATGCATGTCTGTCCTGGATATGATTTCAGAGGCTAAAAGTTTGACAGTTGATTATAAAATCAGGGTAAAAACTGAAAAGGAGATTTAATCATGGCAGTGATTTGAAAATGTCTTTAAAGAAGCCTA